GCTTTATCATGTATTATGGGAGATTATTTCTATCGTTTGACGTATAATTAAAATTTTATTTATTATATTTTTACATGGCGATGAATATATATGATAATTTTTCTGTCTAAATTAAATCATGCTAATTGTTTTGGTTTATTTCTACATACATAATACGTATGTATGTATTGAATTGTCGTATATATGTAAATTCAAAGTTTTTAGTTATGTCATACGTATGTATTATCATTTATTAGTTATAAAAAATCAAAATTTTTGATTGGTCAGCTGGCACATGATCTGCAAAGTGACCAATTATGGCATGATATTCAATTTGTATGATCAACCAATTACGAGAAAGTTATCTTATATGTCTATATTTGATTTAATAGGCCATTACACATCCTAATGGATAGCGCTGAAATTTGTAGATCCAACAAGTCAGGTTTTGACACGAGTAATTTTTGTAGGTCTTATATTTTGATTAAATATTAATTTGTTTTTTAGATAATTATTTGACAGATATAAAAAGTAATCAATTGAAGATAAAGTAATCGGTTAGGCACAAAATCTTACATTTTATCTAGCTGTTTTCTTTTTTTAGGTTTTTTATTCCTGGTTTTGCATGCAACTATCTAGTAAAGTAAAAGTATTTAATTAACCTTACCCGGGTATATCGGGTAGGATTTTATACCTAGATATATCTGTTAATTACCTGTATAACCCGTCGTCAGATAACCGGATAGCATTTTCTTCAATCAGGTACCATCACTAATCATGTTTATTAATTCTCTGAATTTTAATTACATGCTGCTTAGCAAGTTTTATGTATATTGGTATTTTAAAAAATTAGATTTATTTTATTTTTTTAGAAGATTAGCATGTTTGAAATCCATTGCAATGTATTTAGAATAAGTGTTCTACATCAATCTAATTTATACAAATCGCTAAATTAAGATTTATGCATTTAGCGACATGTTTTGTTTTAATGGCTTACAATTAAAAATCATTTTTATGAAGAGAAATTATCCTAATTTAGAAATCATTTAAAGCAGCTCTTCTCCGGTATTGCTACCATAAATTTGTAGTTATGATATGTGTGATGCATCATAAAAAAAATTTAAAGTTCACTTATGTTAGGGTTTGGGTGTATTAAGTAAACGGTTGTAAAAAGAATAAATTTGAGCACTTTAATTTCGCAATATTTAGTATTTCTACTAAACATTCACATAAGAAACAATTTTGCTAAATTTCTGTAAGAAGATCTATTAAGACTTTTCTATTATCATTCTAATCAGCTTTTAAAAAGGTTAATATATTGAGAATGAAATTATAATATAATTGAAACCTTAGACTAATTATTTTAGTAAATCATGTTTTGACAACTTTAATATCAGATCAAATTTATCCATGAGGTTGTTTTGGCAAAAACAAAAAGTAAAGCAAAGCAAAAGCAAAGCAAAACAAAAAAGACAAAGCAAAAAGATGAAACAAAGCAAAAAGATAAGGCAAAACAAAAGAATCAATCAAAGCAAAAGGGTTAAAGTCTCGTATATACCGGGGTATGATATTTTTTATCTATTATAATTCTGTAAATTTACTTTTCAAAACTTCTAACAATTAATATTAGTGATTTAGAAAAGGAATTATTCAACTAAGCATATTTATATTGAATTAATGCTATCACTAAAATGTAAACAAAAAAAAGTTAAAAATGTCAGATAATAATGCAACAGCGAAATAAGAAAACAATACACACCAGATGTTTCAGAGCTATATCCTGCAATTCCCATAAATCTATGCTAAAATTGTCAGGTACTCCAATAGGAATACCTCCGGGGAAAGCATTAAAGAGAAATTTTGCAGGAATTGTTACCTCATAGTTTGCCATGCCAGCAGTTGTACAAGCAATATGACCATGTTGTAAGAGACCAGTACTGTAATTCTATAATACGGTATACCGGTATTTTGAACAAACGTCAATGTCTGGTTATGAAGAGGTGCTGTTTCGAATGAAATCGTGAGGTTCGGTACAGTGTTTAGTAATGTTATTGTTGGTTGTGTATTTAGTAGTAGGTTTGATGAGTTTAGTGCAGAGTTTGAGATTACATTATTACGTAGATAAAGGAGTGCGAGCATTGCAGCAGTGTTATCTGATTGACGAGACCATATTCTTATTATTAAATAAATTTGGATGTTAGTCCGCGCAGAAAAATACTCCTCT